ATATAACAGTGCAGGAAAAATTACACCATAAATGGGCTTCAATTTGTATTTTCCATGTGCCTGTCACCAGTAGCAAGCCTTCAAAGTTCTTCAAAGTTTTCGGTTCCGGTTCGGTTCCGGGTCTGGATCCGGTGACTTTGTAGATTTACTACTGATGGCAGGCATGCGGGAGATACAAAGTGAAGCCTTTTTCTAGTGTGGAGTTTTCCACATTATCATACATACAATTTTTAGTTCGGGCATCTTTAGTGAAATACTATTTTTATGCCTACTAAAAATGCCGGTTCCAACCGGTTCTTTTTTTGCGGAACACTACAGATAAGTATACATTATCCGATAGTTAATATGATCATGTAAAGTTTTTCTGATATTTTGCAAAACTGATTACGCAATTTCATGAAAAAATAATTTCACATGATCATATGAAATGTCGGATAATTAATTTTACCATCAGCTGCAAAAATACCGCAATTCAGTAATTTTTGATGTAAACTATACGCTAGGCCGAAGATCGATTAACGCTAAGGTCACTATATAGGAATTATTCAAAATATAAAAATGCTTATAATTTTTTTTTTTTTTTTTATCTAAATATACAATAAACTTTATTACAGTTAGATTTATAACGAAAGTAGTAGTTGCTATTTCGTTCATGTGGCTAACTCAAAATAATAATATAGTGTAATTTCGATTTGCACTAACATTAATTTCCTCAAGTGTTTATTTGCACCAATACCGGTTTGAATTAATTATGATAACGCTAATACATATATTGTATCTACTCTGAAGACGAGCTTTTTTTACTTTTGTTCTTTTTCCAATAAACAATTCTGAAGAACTTTTTGCTTTGTTTTTTCCAATAAACTTAAATAAAACTCGGCATAATGAAATTCTTTTACTTGTTATTATCTTTTATATCCTAAACACTGTTCAATGCAAAGATGCAAACATGGCTGTAGCCTTCTTCACTGGAGAATACCAGGGAATTAAAGGACTCATTACCTTTACTAGAAAAGGTCGTGGAGTCCACGTTAATGTTGATATCAGGTCGGGCTTGAACGATACTACCGGAAAGTACCCTTACCATATTCATCAATTTGCAATAAATTCTACCGGTTCCTGTGCTTCAACAGGTGGTCACTTAGATCCTACTGGTAATAAAATAAAATTTATTAAATTTCTGTATAAAATTTGTTTTTTTTTCGATAAAACGAATTCTTATTTAAATTTGTCTTGTTCCGCTTCATTAGGTGTTGGTGTATCAGGATACGTATGCGATCCCAATGTACCTAAAAAATGTGAAGTTGGTGATTTAAGTGGTAATATATTTTAAATTACTAATATTTTTTGAATTGACAATTATTAATTTCATATAACTTTGGATAGGTAAATATGGTGGCCTTCAAGGCTCACCAAGGGGTTGTGCTAAAGCAACGTATATTGACAAGTTCATTGCTTTGAAAGATAGCAGTAAAGCTGCAAATGGAATAATTGGTCGCTCCATTGTTATTCACGCTCCTAATTCGCGTATGATATTCATTTCTCAAAATATTAGATATCATTAAAAATAGTTGTTAAAATAATTAATGATAATTTGTTTTTTTTTAAATAGCTGCTCCCGCACCAAGAATTGCTTGTGCTGATATTGTCGCAAAATGAAGTTAAAAAAAAAGCACGAAGTAGGATGTACAATTAACTAAATGTTTAAAACTTCTTTATGTATTTAATACTTTTATTATCTAATTGAATGTTCTAAGTGCTCGTAATTGATTAATATCTTTAGTTGATAGATCTTATATCATATATTATATATTTATTATTCCTATTGGATGTATTAGCTATATCATTTCCTATATCAATAAAATAGCTAATAATCATTGCACATACTAGTCAATAAAGTAAAATCGCGTCTTACACACGAACTTAACACACAAATCATTAAGAATTTTAATGATCTCTGCCTTTTTCAATAACTTGACCAAATTACTACATTAATTGAATCGATTACACTTCATAATAAATCATTGTCGTCGATTCTTTCGTACTGTAATTGCAAACCACATACGTATTATCCCTTAATGTATAACTACTACAAAACACATTATATGCATACATTTATTTCAGTATCCGCTATTAGAACAAAAGCAGTAGTTAATGTGTAACAGTAGTGTGTAACATTAGTGTTATGTACCAGAAACCGGAAGCCGGTTTGTAAATCCGAAGATTAAAGTTTTATATGGGTCTTCTCCTTGAAAATCACCTTACGACATTTTCCGATCGGGATAATTCGGGCAAAACAGACCAAAATATCGGCTTATATTTATATGTGAATCACACATTTTAATTTATTGAATCAATAGTTTATTCAATAAACTATTTGAATCAATAAAGGTCAAAATGTGATTCACAAATAAATACAAACCAATGTTTTGTCCGAATTAGCCCGATCGGAAAATGTCGTAAGGAATTTTCAAGGCAAAGACTCCATATACTGTAATGACAATCGAAGGTTGGGGCGCAACTGGCCCCTGTTGCATTACTTGTATCAATTTTGGTCAATTTTTTAATATATGTCAAATGACATCAATTAGAGCACATGCTCATAATTATGTATAACAATTTGATTTTGTGGGTATCAAAAAAATTTTAATATACAGTATGAATAAAAGTATTATACGTACGTATGTTTATATAGGAATAATCCAGTCTGACATCATGTTGAATTTTATTTGATGGGTTCTATTTTTTTTGTTGTAGGATAATAATATATTTATTATTAAAAAATTACATTTTCTGATTTTGGAATTTCAAAATAGAAATAGGATTTTAAACTTCCACTTATTTTGAAATAAATTGACTATAGCAATGCTGTTATTATATTATATCCCTGCTAATGTATATCTAATTATTGAGACAGATTAAAATTATTTTGAGTTAGATTTAAATAAAATTTTAATACATATTAAATTTAAATATCGAATAAAATTTTTTAGAATGTATGTTTTTACCATTTTTTAGGACTTTGCTGTTAAATTTGTTAATAAGAAAGTATATGTATGTTTTAGAGAGTTAGATGGATATCTAATTTTATTTTAATTTGATTTTATACAAGTCTGTGACATTAATTAGTTAATTGAAACAAAGCGGTGAAGCTACCTCCTTATACATTCATATTAACTTATTTTAACATGGCTTTCTCTTGTTAATATTATATTAAATAATTTAAAGTTATATTACGCCTATACTGTATACAAATTATTGCTTTATTTTAATAATTGGATTATTAATGACCAATCTAATTTTGATAAAAAGTACAAGTCAATATAATTCCATTGTAAAGTGCATCTACTAATGCTTTTACACCTTCTAATCAAAGAAATGTATAATTAAGACATAAATTAATCAGTGTAGTATTTATGCAAAATGCATCGGCTAATGCTTTTCTATTTTCTAGTTTGAGTTTATTTTAAACCAGATTTAAATTTGTATTAAAATTATTAATAATAAAAATCTTATTCAAGAATAATAAATTAAGCTTTGAAGAATTATAGTTTGATTAAAAATAATAACAGAAAGCATTTAATAAATTAAATTTTATAATATAAATGCAATATGAAATGCGCAGCGTAAATTTTGTTAACTTACAATACTTATATTTTTGTTATCAGTTTATTATATAAATATTTGAAGTGTACAGTCTACCCCTCGTTATAACGTAGTGATCGTGCTGAGAAATTCTGTCCGTTATAATGAATATTTGTTATAGCGTTATATATTATAATAATAACAATTTCAAATTGTTCTAGAGAATTACTCCGTTGTAACGATGAATCCGCTATAACGGAGTCCGTTATAACGAGGGTAGACTGTAAATTAATACTGTAGTAATGTACTTAGTATTAATATAATATATAATTATATCAATTTTATTATTTTTTTAAATCCTTAAGGTTTTATATTGATTTATTACCTCTATAACTAAGTTGATAATTATCAAGAGCAAGTATAGGTTTACATTCATTAATATTTAATAAGAATTAATTATTTTAATTTAAAACGAGGTGGTAATATCTGATTATTATAAAATATCAGATAAATTTATTATTGGAGGTTTTGCCTCAAATAACTTTTGTATCTAGTATACGTATAATAAGGTTATTGGACCTCTTCATGCTATAAGGCTAGAATATTAAATTTCTATACTAGATAAATTTTTGCATTTGTTATCCGATGGTCTAATCTTGATATAATTACCAGGTTGATAATCAAAATTTAATGTGATTAAAGGTAATAATACCTATACAAAGAATAATTTTCTTATGTAATAGGTAAAAAAAAATAGAACTTTTTTATAATTTGTAACTATATTAAGAATGACTATTTCAATATTAGACTGCAATACAAACGCTTTTACCAATCGTTTAGTGGCATATTTAACTAATATTGATTTAAAAAATATTAATATTCTATTTTAAATAATAACTTAGTTAAATTTTATTAATTTATACACCTGTTAAAAACGCTACCTTTTTTTATTTAACATTATCTACTATTATGGTTATAATAAATTTGTATTGCTAATAAATATTATTGTAGCATATTTTAAATAAATCTTTCTCCTTCTCCCCTATTTACAAGTAAAACGAAGCACATAAAATTAGCTATTTGATCCTTTAATTTGATTTTATTATATTTTAAGTTATTACATTTTATATTAACAATACATAATTTACAATATGTTAATATTTAAATTAGTATATTATTTCAATATTTGGATTATTAGATTTTATAATAAAATCAATATTGTTATTCCGAATATTCAAGTATTTCAGTGTAATGTTCTTACAAAGCATACCTTCTAATGCTTTTCCTCCTTCTGGCCCAAGATTATTACCCCAAAGATCCAAAAAAGTTAGCCTGGTGTTCTTGTAAAGTGCATGTGCTAACGCTTTTCCTCCTTCTGACCCAATTTTATTCGATTGAAGATACAAATTAGTAAGTGAATTGTTCTTGCAAAGTGCATCAGCTACTGCTTTTGCTCCTTCTGATCCAAGATCATTCTCAAAAAGAACCAAATAATTCAACGTGGTATTCTTGCAAAGTGCATCTGCTAACGCTTTTCCTCCTTCTAATCCAATTTTATTGTGACCAATATGAAAATAAGTCAGAGTAGTGTTTTTGCAAATTGCATTTGCTAATATTTTTCCGACTTTTGATTAAAGGTCATTATAACTAAGGTCCAAATAGGTCAGCGTAGTATTCTTGCAAAGTATATTGAATAACATTTTTTCTTCTCCTGATCCTATATATTTATTACGAAGATTTAAATATTTAAGATTTTTACTGGCTCGAAGAAACATTGTAATTAAAGAGCATAAGACAGCATTTGCAAGCTTATCGTTTTTTAAATGAATTACAAAATATCCTTCATTGTTAAGCCAAGCTTTGACGCCATTAACCAGAAATATATCAACAGATGTAGTATAAATTTCGTACTTAAATAATGGCTTCGGATAATTTGGAAGAATAATTTTAAAAGGAATCAATAGTGCTTGCTCTTCAGTACTTAATGCTAAAAGATATATTCTTATAAGTCTTTCATCATCAAAATATTTTGTAGGTTCACGCCATAATATTGGTACAATAAGTCTACACCATTGACGGTTTACAAGAAGGCACGAAAATAAGGTTTTATAATAAGTATGAAAATTATTAAATATTTTAATAAGGCATTCGTTTGGTAGCATTATCATTTTGAAAGAACTTTGAATTTAATTAAAAATCGGTGTTTGACATCATTATATATAGCCAATGTAAATGTCGTGAAACGTTGTATCTAAATCTTGTTTTACGTAATTATAGTTGGTTACACGAGTCTCGACAAATAAGGTTCTCGTATATGAATAGAAAAGACGGTATATACATACACACTGATTTTTAATATAATTTGTTAATGATCATTGACTGTTCACTTTATGGAAATAGCCTCCACCAAACGTTATTATTCATAAGAATTTTGTAAATACTATAGACTTTACTGAATTTTATATTTATTATTTTGCTAATACTAAAATGATTTAACATTCGAAAATATTTTTATTTATCAAAGTCATCAATGATCACGGATTTTAGACTGTCAAAAAGATAAATGAAATGACACTAAATGTAGTATATTTAGTGAAGCTTATGGCATTAGTTAGAGCTATTAAGCTCTGCGGCTGCACAGGCAGTGCAAGGACCACATATTTGGTGATTAGATTCCACAGCCGCTATAGACAGTATAAGGATCATATATTTGTGATTAGGATTCGCTGCCTTGGCAGCGGCACAAGACCTATGGCTTGAGTACATTCACGTTCTATACAATACTATATAATCAATTCTTATCATAGATATGACAAGTTTGTAATCAAACTTCAATGCGATAATGCCTATACAAAGATTAATTTTTTTATGCATTATAATCATTGTTAAAACAAAAATATAATAATTTTTTATAATTTGTACTGTAACTAAATTAAGAGTGATAATTTCAATGTTAGACTGTAACGCAAATATTTATAATTCATTCTTTAAGAATAGTCGAGCATCAGTTAACAACTAATTTACTTTTTACAAATTGTTTAATAATATATTTAACTAATCCTATTGTAATAGCT